TTGATTGCAAAACACCGCAATTGGGTGGCAGAGCCGGCCTTGGGCGCCATTCGTGAGGGCAGGGGGGGTGGGAAATTGGAGGAGACTCAGCCCTCACTCCTGGGGTCTTCAAACCCAGCCCACGCAGACACCTCTGAAGAAGCAGGCAATCGTTGGAATAACCTGCCCTGACTCTGTGGCATCGAGGAGACCAAATGAGCACATGGTCATAGGGTCCATTTCTATGGATCTGGGACCGTTTCCAAGATGTAGAACAACCCAAGAAGGACGTCAGTGTGCAGCAATGGGCAACGCGAGCAGAAGCGTTTCCTGTGGCTGGATGGGAACCTGAGTTCGACTGCACTAACCCGCCGATGTGGCGGCCCTCTCCAGATGCAAAACATCCCTTCACAGCTGTGGAAAAGCAAAGCAACCAACTCAAGAACTTCACATCCGCTTTCCTGCAAGGGGAGGAGCCGCAACACGAGAGCCTCAATGCCATGTGACCCAAATCTGCAGCCCAGGAATATCTGGGAGCCTCAGCGAGAAGGAGAGAAATCGCCTTTAGCTTTTTCCGGACTGAACATTGGCTTCCTAACTGAAAATATGGCCAACTCTGACTTTAGGGCTGGGCAGGCGGTGCCCGGCCTCCTTCTATCCTCCCCACTGAAAACATCCATCCTAAATGCTGCAGGATTTGCATCCCATTGGAACATCCCCAGACGGAATGTTTCTTCCTCCCAAAGATCTTATTCTACAGAGTATGCGAAGTGACCTACTTTTTCAACCATTCTTTGCAAAACTCTGATTCTGGAACGTGCTTTGCCACGACGGTCATTTTGTTTTCCCTTCTTCACACCCACCCACTCCCCGGCCTGGCATCTGCCCCACTGTTATCCCTCGACACCAAAATACCTCTGGAAGTCTGGAAACAATTTAAGCATTTGCCATGAGTGTGTGTGCGTTGTTGTTGTTTTTAAATCACAGATATAGGGAGCAGGAGAGAGAGAGACACGCAAGACAAACCCCTAATATTTTTTTGAGCAACGCAGATAAGATCAGTAACTAGGAACGATGCTTAGGGGAAGCTTTCACAAGACCCTTGACCCCTAACTTATTTTGAGGTCCAATCTCAGGAAACGGAGGGCAAAGAGAAAAGCACTGGGAAAGCAAACTTCAAAAAATTCCCCCACAAAGCGATCCAGGTGCCTCGGAAGGTAGAAATGCCAACAGATTCAGCTCCCCAGCCAGCAAGGAGGTGGCCAGGCTGAATGAGCTCCACTGCCCATCTGCAAAGGGGCAAGGTCTGCCCCTCCCCTCCCCCCTTGCTAACTCCTGGGCTGCCTCACCCAAAGGCCTGGCTTCCTCCTTGGCGCACAGCCAGCTGGGCCCCCACTGCCCCATCTCTTCTCTGCAAGCCTCGTGGGGCTTTCCTTGCTCCAAGGGAGACCAAGGGAGGGAGGGAGGAAGAGGCCCTGGGCACACACACTCACCCTCAGCCAGAGCTGCACACACACCGCCCAGGCCCCAGACCTTGAGGTCTGAAGGATCCCCAGCCATGCCGAAAGCTTCCAGAAGCCCCCCCCCTCCAGGGGGGGGGAGGTGGAAGCTGGGAGACTCTCGCCCTCTCCCTGCCCCCAAACAGGAAGTGAGCCTGCGCGCCCTTGGCCCACCTCCTTGTATGGTGCCAGCGCTTGGGCTCTGCACACAAGGGCCTGGCTCTCAGCCCAGCCACTTCTGGCCTCCGGAAACTGTTACCGGAGGCAGGCAGGCAGGCAGGCTATCCATCTGCAGAAACCATCTTGGGAAGGGAAGAGTCCAGCCAGTCCACTTAATCCCTGTGGGGAGAAACAGCAGCTCCATCAGGCGGGAGGCAGACCCCACTGGTGCTGGAACGGCTCCAAGGTCCAGCCCCAAAGGGAAGCTGGGCCGGGACCGCAGGGAACAAGCCACCCCACGGGTCTGAAAAGATGCATGCCGGAGGGAGGGGAGCCACCGCCGACCCTTTGGCCGAGGGAGCTCAGAGAAGCGACACAGCTCAGAGAAGCCGGACATCAAAAGAGAGCCGCTGAGGATCATTCGGGAGGAGGTGGATTTGCAATGCACCGGGGAGCCAAGGGAGATCGGTTCAGGTGGAGCCCCGGAGTAGCGGCACCGAAGGCTTCCTCCCAACCCAGCTGGGCCAGGCGTTCAAAGGCAGAGGGGAGCCCAGGAACCTGGGCCATGCAAGGCGGCCCAAAGTCCAGAGAGATGCTTTCTCCAGCCTCACTTGTACAAAAAAAAAAAAAGGCCTTGGTCCTCTCCGAGAAAGGAACCACGGCACAACGGGTCCAAAAACAACCCCGTCCTGCAAATGCTGAATTTCTGTCAAGAGTTCTGGCCGGCTCATCATTCTGGAGCGTAGTCGAAGCAGCAGCAGCTCCTAAAAAGAGGTTTAACTGCAGGTCTAGATGACCTTCACAGCTCCCTCCATCTCCCAATTCCACGCATGGGAGGGGGGGATTCAAAGGCACCCCCCCCTGTGGTCCAGCTTGACCATCCCCCATGAGATCCGGCGCCCCAGGCGCCCAGCGATCATGCCCCCCCCCCCAGAGTAGGCGGCTGAGGAGCGAAGTCCAGGAAGGGGACATTCCGCGGAGCCTTTGAAAACGGCCTTATCGCTCTTCCCTTCCCAGCAGGTGGTAACTCCTCCGCCTGGACTTTGTCACCAGAGATAAAACTTCTGCTTTGCCAAAAAAGGAAGGAAAGCAGAGGGTCTCTTTGGGGGGGGGGATGGAGGGGGGGGGAGGTGGAGTTGCCAAGGGATGCAGCTGTTGACCTTCAACCATCTCCATGCTCAGATAGACTACTCTGGCCCAAAGTGCTTTGGAAAACGGGTTGATCCTTCAGACGCAACTTCTGCCCAGGGAGGTCAAAGCCGCCAAAGTGGGGAAAAAACCATTAGAAAGAGCCACCTGGGTAAAAGGCCAATGGAGCTGCCCATCGTGCGCCTGTTTCGCTGTGCCAGATGCCCTTAGGGTGCAGCCCCTGTGGCTTAGCCTCCGACGCACCGCCGGCCTTGGGTGAAACCCACCCAGGGCCACCTCTGGGTTCGCTGTGTCTGCCAGGTTCCTCTCCTCGAACCCTCTTCCAGCTTCACAAGAGCCCAGGTCCAACTGGGGGGACCAATGCAAGCCAAGTGATCTTCTCTGAGTCTTTGGAGACGTTTCACGCCAACAAGTTCTGCTTTAATGAGAAATGGCGGCATCTCCAGGGACACACACACACACACACACACACACACACCGCTTCCCTCTCCCTCCGAAAGGAGCAAGCCTGGAGCTACTGCTTCAAAGCACCGAGAACGAATCCCACACACGGCTGGGACTCGCCTGCCTTTATGGCTCCAACTGCCAGACTATTGATCCTTCCGGCTCCTCGGCTAGGAGAGGGAATCGCGAGGTGGGCTCCTTTTCCCACCCTGGGAGAACAGGGAAATGGGGGGGGGGGGGGGGGGGGGGGGGGGGAGAGAGAGAGAGAGAACCAACAGGCAACCAACCATCAGCAGAGGAACCTGCAATAATTCCCCATTCGTTGCAAAGGGCAGAGCCGGCACCCTGGTACCCACCAGTCGCCCAGTGAAGGCTGCCCTTTAGCATTCTCCCCCCCCCCCCCCCCCCCCCCCCCCCCCCTCCCCCCAATCCCCCCCCCCCCCCCGCGCTGCCTTTTAATGGACACCAATGAAGTCATTTGTTTATCGGTCTTTGGGCACGACTGCCTGGTCCCACTTATCTGCCATAAATCTCTCAGCAGTTCCACCTCACCATCACCGCCAGCCCGGCTCCACCTGCTCTGCTCACCCTGGGGGAGTGGGGGCGGCCTGGCCCCCTTTCTCGCTCCTCCTCACCTGACCTCTCCTGCAAGCAGCCCTGGAGCCCTGATAAAAGCAATACATGTGGCCGGAAATGGACGTTGGGATGCTATGGGGAAAAAAAGCGACCTGCAGAGGGAGGAAGGGAGGCCTGTTCCTCCTCCTCTTCCTCCCTGCAAACTCCACTCCCTTCTAGCTCTAATGTTGATCCCTAGTTGGGTCAAGAAACGTCTGCAAGAAAACAACTAACCTCAGAGAGCATCCAAGATGCTACAGTTCTTCTTCTCCTTCTCCCCAACACCTGTTTTTTAATCCGGTTACCCTCCGTCCAAACATCTGCTCATCTGCTAGGGATGCTTTGCCTGGGAAAGGCCGCATCCCCTGGCCTCCCTGGGCTGACTCAGATGGCCAAGAGCCATCGGGTCAGGGTGGGGGTGCAAAGCTGGCCAAGGAAGGGTGGGAACCGCAATAATTGGGACACAAAGCAGCAGCAACAACAACAACAGACGGGAAGGCAAGCCGAGCTCCGCTCCTGGACAAACTGGCAGGGCTGCTTTCATCCTGCAGCCCTGGCATGTAAGCAGGTTATTTGGAGCAGCCAGCCCGAGACTAACCTTCCTCCCCTTTCCCCATTGCGACTTTGTGCGCTAAGCAAGAGGGGGGTGAGGGCTCTGCTTCGAACAGCAGCAGCAATTTGGCAACTTGGGCCTGTGCAAAAAACAGCAACTCTTGTTGAACCCTCTACCTGCCTGCAGCTTTCAGGAAGACCCCGTATTTTGAATGCAACCTCGGCCCGTTTCTCTCTGCTGGGGCGGGCTGGACAGCGCCAAGCGCGCCCCGTTCCTCGCGGGAGCAGCAACCCACACCCCACCGACGAGGCCTCAGCCAGCTGCCCACCCCAAGGGAAAGGCAGGCCAGGGTCTCGCAGCACGTCGGAAAGCCAAAGCCCCAGCAAAGGGCCAGCCGAAGTACCTTCTCAAGTTCGTGGCTTGCAGGCAGAGCCCCCGGGCGGTGGCCGCTCTCGGAGCAGGACGCGCGGCCGCAGCTAGCGCGCACGGACCGGACCCGCGGCTGCAACCGCCCAGGCCTCCGAGGGGAGGGCAGGGGAGGCAGGGCGGGCGGGGCTGCTCGACTCGGCCGCAGCAGGAGCCCGGCCGAACGAGCGCCTCACCTTGGCAGGCGATGCCGCCTCCTCCTCCTCCGGGGAAGCTCCTCCGGCCAAAGGAACGCGCCTCCCCTCGCCGCCTTCCACCATGGCGCTCCGGCCGCCCTGAGTTTGGCAAGGAGGGTTTGGGGCAAGGGGTGCGCGCGGCGGAGGCCCCCAGCCCGCCCGCAGCTCCAGCCGCCTCTCGCCTCTCCGGCTTCCGCGGGAAGGGAGGAGACAAAGGCGCTCAGGGCTCGGCTCGGCCCGTCCCCTCGCCTGCCCAGCTGCCCGCCCCCTCCTCGATCCCGGCTGGGGATCCCGACAGGGAGGGAGGGGAAGGCCGGCCCGGCGCGCGCTTCCATCCCAAGGAGGAGGGGTCGCTACGGCGGAGCTTTCTGCAGATGCTCAGAGGCGCATCGGAGAAGGAGGAGGGTCCCAGCCACGGCTCTGCCCCCTGACAGCTTCTCCCCCTTCTTGCTCTGCGCCCAACCGTCTCATTTCCAGGACAGGCAGCCCCCCCCCCCCCTCCACCATCTCTCAAAGGAGCCTGAATGAGGCCGGAGCTGAGGAAGTGGCCCACCTACCACGCCCCTCGGGGCGTTTCTGCCCATCTGCTGGCGGCTTCAGACCGAAGAGGTTCCAAGGTGGCTCCATGGTGAAGCCATCTGGTTAGAGAGAGGACAGGAGGGGGGACCGGAGGCCCAATGGGGCGGAGGGAGCCTCCTGCCCAGGAAGCCTCCACCTGGGAAGGGGTGACTGTCCATCCATTTCCACCTCTAAAACTTGGGAGGGCTTTGAGCAAGGAAGTCCCTGCCTCTCCAGGGGCAGCTCTGGAAAGTGGCCGAGGCCTCCTGGAGGCCTTCTGCAAGGTAAGCCACCACCCCCCACCAGGAAAGCACTTGGTTTCCCCCACTCCCATCTCCTTCATCTTGCCAACGCTGTAGAAGAGATGCCAACGCTGCCCGAAACATCCCCCCACCCCTCCGAGACACAGGTCCATCTCCTGCCCGGTTTGGCCCTCCTGTATGGCAGCCTGGATCCGAGAGTCAGGGAAATTCTGGCTTTTTGTGTGTGTTTTATCCAGGTTGCTGGAAGAGAGAGAGAGAGAGAGACCCATCTGCAAAGAGTTGGCAATGGACACAGACAGACTGCCGGAAGGTAAACAGCGTGGGCGAGCTTCGTGGCATCTGTGAAAGTGGCAGCGTGTGGCAGATCCCAAACATGGCGGCGGCGACGTATGCGAGTTTTTGTTTTCCTTTCCGAAAGATGCTTTTGGGGGAGGGGAGGGTGACTCATCCTTGAGAGAGAGAGAGAAAAAAGCACATTCCGTGCCAACAGCTTTCGAGACTCGTCCTTCTGAGGTGATGATGAGGATGATGATTATGGTGGTGATGATTGATTGCACAGTCAACCAGAGGTTTGGATCTCTGGGTTTGGCATTTCGGTCCACCCATCGAGTCTTTTCCCCGGCACCTGGGATAGGCAGGCGTGGAGGCCCGATGGTGCTAAAAACATCCTGGCGGGATGTCAGCTCTTCCAAGCACAGCTGCCTTTTGCAATTGACCAAGGGGGACTTTTGTCAATGCGGATGGTGCTCCAAATGTTTTGGTGTAAACCCAAGGCTCTTCTCACGATGGGTCCAATCCTGGCTTTCTTTTGCCACAGTCATTTCCCTTCTATTTCCAGGTGTTTTTGTTTTTTTTTGCCTTCTGTGATCTGCAGTCACCAGGTACCACCACGTCCTCTTGTCCAGACGTACTTTTCTCTTTCTTATCCAGAATGGTTAAGTCTGGGTTTTGTTTTTTTGTTTTTTTCACTGCATCAGGTGCTTTTCTGTTTGAATTCTAAAGCCCCGGAGCTTCCGCATTTTTTATTTTTTATTATTGTTATTAAAAGCATGCCTGCAAATTAAAAGTTAATGGAGCAGATTTAATGCTGATGTCAGGCAATCTTCCGCCGAGGGCCGGTTCCTGCAGCAGCCAATGGAGAGCTCGCTTCGGCATAGGGCAGAGATGCGGAATCGCTGCAAGTGGATTGGGGTCCCAAATGGATTCTTGCTGGGGAAAGCAAGGTGATCTCTCGACCCCCCCCCCCTGAGAGAAGCCATTTGAGTGCAGGAGACACACACACACACCCCGGTCCTCACAACGAAATCCCTGGGGAGGGTCCAGAGCTCTGCTTTTAGCCCCTTCAGCGCATCGAAGGAAGCTCAGCGTCCTTCCTGGAAGAGCCTCTGTGCCAGAGGGAACTTTGATCCAGACAAGCGGCAACCCCTGCTGCCTTTTCAGCTCAAGGAAGAGGCCAGGATGTGATTTTCCTCCGATGAAAATGATAGAGCCCGTCTTGCGGTCAGTGTGATGTGGGCACTGGCCCAGGCTAAATATGGCTGAGCGGCCTGGAGACAGCCCCCGAGGTGCCATTTCCTCCCGAAAGCTCTCCAGGGCAAGGAGGCCCGCTCAAAGAGAACGGACCTGCTTGGAAAGGAAAGGACCGGGAGATTTCAGACGGGACCGCCGGCGGATTGAGCAATCCACCCCGGGGGATCCGGCGCCGTGTCTTCTTCACCCAGGAATCTGCCGCGTGCCATTTTTGTTGCACGGATGTGGCACAATCTCTGCTTGTTCGAAGGGCATGCACGTTCTTCCTTGCAAATGTCATTTCAGCTCGTTTTTTTGGCGCGACGTACCCGATCGTGGCCATTTCTAAATGTTGCAAAAAGTTTTGAGTGTTGAGCCAAGAATGACCACCCCCCCACATTCTGTACTGTTTTTCCCAGCCTTGTAATGACCCCTCCGTTCCTACACACACACACACACACACACACACACACACACGAAAGATCACACTGACTGGGGATTTAGAGGGCCTGTGTATCTTGAGCGCTGGGAGAACAGCGCTCAGCCAGCTGTGCACACACTCAGGTGCCCCTCCAGCCTCTGGCCCAGATGTGCTCTTCCTGGGCTCCCCCAGGGCTCTGCCTACCTGGGAGAGGCAGCAGACCTGCTCCCACTCAGGAGGATAAATCTCCCTGAGAGCCAGGTCAGCACGTTATCTCTCCCACAACTCCTGGCTGGGAGGCATCTTCGCTTCGCTTTGTCGACTCGCTAAAACGGACGGCTTCTCCGGCAAGCCAAAAAACAGCCCAAGCACAATTTGCTTTCCTTCCACCTGCCCTGCTCTGCAAGGGCCCCACATCGTTCCTGGGGTGCAGCACAGGGGCAGCTTTCAGGCCCACTTCCTAAACCAAGTATCTCTGCTTAGCCCCAATCCTAGAAATAAGCCACAATGGCAGGCTTCCCACGACATGCTAAGAATCCAAAGGTTACAGATTCCAGAGCGCAAATAGTTGGGTACATCCAACCTTAAAAATGAATGTTTCTCATTCTGCATTAATCCCTTTGCTGGGTTTGCATCACACACACACACACACACACCAAAACACACAAAAAAACTGAAAGCTCAGCAGAGTCCGGATATTCTGCAAATATAGCTCACCGGATTTGGTTTCGAGTGTTTTGTGACCAGGGCAAGCTGCTTTTGAAGCTGCGCGGCAGATTGTTGGTAGGATTAAAACCAAGGTGGGGTGGAAATTATTTATGCTTGCTTTGGGTTTCCTCTGGACAGAGGCAGGAGAGAGCCTGGCTCTTGGGTGCGGATGGCCGGAAGGGATGGTTGCCAAGGGGCTTGGCTGGGCTACCTGGGCAGGCATACCGCCCCGCCCCCCCCCCCATGCCACAGGGTCAACTCCATTTTGCTCCCAAAGTGGACCTGGCACGCTTATGGAGGGGGCTACATGCAGGGGTGGGATTCTACCAGTTCGGACCAGTTCTATAGAACCGGTTGTTACGATTCTGCGCAGTTCAGAGAACCGGCAAATCGCACCCCTGGCTGGCTCCTCCCATCCCCACCCGCCCCACCCAGGAGGCTTCCCTGAGGCCCAGTCGGGGTGGTGGTGGTATTCAGGGGGTTGGGGGAGGGAGAAGTGGCCTGAGAGCAGAGCTGAACCTTCCTTAAGATCGAAGCGTCTATTTTTTTCAGTGCAGACTCAGGCAGCAGATGGCAGAAAGGTAGATCTCTGAGTGAAGCTGTGATTCTGCAAGCAAATCTGCCTGCCTGCTTTGCCTCATTTGGGGTAAAAGTTGCTCTTTTTTTTAAATGAAAAAAAATTCAATATTTACATACACATTTACAATATTGACATACAAGCCACACCCAGACAGTCACATGACCACCAAGCCACACCCACAAATCGGGCCATGCCCACACAACAACCGGTTGTTAAGAAATTTGAATTCCGCCCCTGGCTACATGGAGGGGGAGGAGAGCCTCTGGCCAACCGGAAGGGTCTCCTTGGGTGGCTGCTGGCTCTTTCCTGTCTCTGAGGTGCTTGTTTATTCTCCCCGTTTATTGCATCACCCTGCGTAGACGCAGCCAACGGCACAACACCACCCCTCCCATAAAGGCAGCCGGCTTAAGGCAGGCTCTGCTGCTGTGCTGTGATCGGAGGGCTGCTCTGGGGGGTTGGTGAGGTGGAGGGAGGGTGTTTTGAGTGCAAGGCTCCGGGGCCACCCCAGAAGAAAGCTGTGCCAGGCAAGACACCCCCACAGGGAAGGCCATGGGCAGGGCGAGCGCAGTGCCCAGCGGAGGCTCTGTCGGACGTGCCTCTTATCCTTTTAGGATAAGAGACACCCCCTCTCCAATCCTAACCTGCCACTCCTGCTCCTCTCTGGGGAGCCCAGCAGAGCCGTGCGGCGACGGAGCAGCGAGCACAACAAGCCATCCCTGGGGGGCAATCGAGTTACCGAGATTAAATGATTCCCCTCATCGCCAGCCGTAATTAATTTGGGAGAGAAGCAGGCGGAGACCTTCCCTTGCCCACAAGTCCACGTCTGACTCCTGCTTTGGGGTCTGCCTTTTCTCTTTCTCTTGCCACACCTGTGTGCGCAACTCGGCACCACTGGAGAATGGGCTCCCTGGGTGGCCTCTCATCCGCCACAGACCACCCTGGAACTATGGAAAGCGGCGAAAGAGCCCCGGGGGCAGCTGGGTGCAATCACACCTCTGCTTGCCACCTGGCCCAGAGCCACGTTGGCCTGGGTGGACCCCGCTAAATAAGACTGCACACCCGAGGCAGGGAGGTCAAAAGGCACTCTGAAGAAAATTGGGTGGATGTCTACTTTTGATCCTCACGAACGGAGGCGCCTGTATACGTG